GGTCCCTCCTAGACCAAGATCCCTCAGCCACCGCAGAACTGATCACTACGGTACATTCCCCACTGCTCGGCCCAGTCTCGTTTTAAACAACCCAAGCAATGAACCCTCCACTACTTCCCTTAGGAGGCTGTATCCACCCCGTGGAGTCCATTAGTGCCCAGAGTACCTTCACCAGCTACGCAAGAGGGTCACCCTGGCCAGACAAGTCAACTTCACCTGCTTTCTGGTTGAATATGGAACAGTCCACAGTCACTACGAATACAAGCTAGCTACTGAACGCCACTCACAGGGAGAGGCCTTAGGAGTGCAAAAAGGCAATACAGCCTCACAGATATTTACTCTGCAGCCGGCCGCCTTAGGTTATTATTTTTAGTTTGCATTGGGATAGTGCTGAGAGGCCTCAGCCTGGAAACCGAGCCCCATTGTGCCAGGTGCTGTACACACGTGTAAGGAAATGGTGCCCTACAGAGCTTTACATCTGTGTCGGTGTTTCAGTTCCCAGGTACAGTAAACTTCCCAAGGAGAAGAAATCTCACCTCATTTCAGCCCCACACTCCTCTGAGGCATTCAGTAACCCTGTGAACAACGCAGACAAATCTTGACACTTTCAATGCAACTAGTGGATCCTCTTGACTATAAATTTGTCTACATTGAAAAAAACCCCAAAACATGGCAGCATCTCAGAGCCCAGGTGAATTGACTCCGGCTCGCGGGGTTCAGGCTGTGGTGCTCAAAAGAGCAGAGAAGATTTTCCTACTCAGGGGGAAGTCCGGGCTCCGGGCCTTCCCCCTTCACCGGTTTTCAGAGTTTCAGTTCCAGCTTGAGCAGAAATGGCTACACTGCTATCTTTAGCCCTGTACCGTGAGCCCGAGTAAGTTCACCCAGACTCTAAGACTTGCTCCCCAGGGGAGGGGAGTTTGCGGTGTAGACGTACCCTAAGAAGAGGCGGTTTAATGACAGTGCTGGCACTTCCTGACCACAGTCCACCTGCCAATATGGCGAGGCAGCCATTCTTGTGAGATTTCAGCTCTTCCACTTCCATTTCTAGCTAGACCCCAGAAGGGATGAGGTGCAGTGAAAACAAAAAACAATTCAGTGGGGTGGAGTTCCCTCGGATTTTCAAAACCTTCAAAAAGACTTGGTTGATTTTAAACTTGAGACCATGATTTGGGGGATTTCTTCTCCCTAGTGGAAATTCCAGTAGACTCCATAGGAATCCTTGAACTGGTCTTTCTCCTTCTCTCTCTTGATGTCTTCTGGTCTGTGTAGATTTTTACTGGTCTCTCTTGGTTTCCACTGGAGGATCCGTAGCTGAAGGAACCAGGAGATCTGTTACAAATCTTAGTCTGCCACTTGGAACCAGGTGAAAATTTGCAACAGGAATTTCCACTAGAGATTCCTGCACTCCTGGACTGTGTATACGTAGCCAGCACTGAAATTCAGCCCCGTCTCGGTTTGACTGTGACAGTCATTGGGCACTAGCTACACAGCACGCCTGATTAGCACAGAAAGTTCAGGAGATTGTCACATCCACTATCACATCGCCTACCGGGGAAATGGAGGCTGCTGGAGTGTAAGGATCCAAGCTGGAATTCACTCAAGGTACCAGGCTTCCCCCAGCCCCGGTCATGCTGAACGTGAGCTGCTCTAGATACTGCACAGCTGTGATAACGCAGTAGGGCAGGGCCATTCTTCCCATTTTACAGCTTGGGAATGGAGAGACTGAGAGACTTGCCCAAGTCACTGTGGCCGAGTGAAGACTAGAACGCAGACCTCCTAAATTACTGCCCTAACCACTGGGCCATTCTCTCTCTACGGCTACTGTGCTTGTCCTCAGCTGGGAATGTCACCAAGGTGCCCGCTGAGATAGTGGGGTCTGTGTTCCAGAGGGTAGAGTGGAAGGTGGCTAATGGAATCCTAGAGCTCTGCCTTGCATCCACCATCCACCATTCCACAGAGGGGACAGCAA